TTCTAATCAATTTATTTAATATATTCCAAGTACCTCTCATGTTATTTTTATTATCCTCTAATACTTTAGCGTAATATTGTTTCTTACATCTCCTCAAAATCTCAGTTAATTTGTTCTTATATGACTTATATTTTTCTTCTGCCTTCTTTGATCTGTCCTTTATGAATTCCTTATATAACGCATTCTTCTTTTTACATGCATTCTGTAATCCCTTACTCATCCACGGTTTCCCACTGTAATTCCTCTTGTTTTTATACTGCTTACGAGGACCGTTCCTGTCATATACTTTCTTAAATATATTTTAAAATTGCTCATATGCTTTATCCAAGTCTTCCTCTCTGTAAACTGATTCCCAGTTTTGCCCCATGAAATCCTCTTTTAGCCTCCTTACAGCATGTTCATTCGTCACCCTCCTATAGAAAAGATTTGTTTTTGGCCTCTCTTTTCTATACTGGCCCTCATAAACCAAAAATACTGGTAGATGATCACTAATATCATTTATAAGTAATCCACTTGTCATTTTGCTGTCAATAACATTGGTAAGATTTTCTATGGGAAAAATGTTCTTGGGCCAGAGTTCATCATGTGATGAACGTGGTTTGGCCGCTATGCTGGATTTGCTTTACAGGCTAGTGCTGTTGCTGCGTGTTTGTGTATCTCTCTGTAATGTTAAAAATTAAGAAGAAAAATGTAAGAAATGCTCGTCTGCTATTAACCAGCTATGCAGCTTATATTTATAACAACTTGAAAATTCAGCCTGTTCTCTACCTTGGAGCTCTTTATTTTTAAATAATGAATTTTTTTTTGTTTTGTTTAGCCTGTGGATTTATATCTTGACATGTGAGTCATGTTCATTTTAAGACTACTAGACTAAATTGCATTATGCAAGTTTTTACCTTGAAAGAAAAGTTTGACATTTTGGGAAATACACTTATTTGCTTTTGTGAAAATTAGATCAGGCAATACCAGTCTGGTGTCTGTTGGCTAATGTTGCTAACTTAGCTTTTGCACAAGTATTAAATTTTTTTTTGCAAATATAAAAGTTTATTTTATAAAGTGCCTTTTCCTTGATAATAAAAAATTGTGTTGTACTGCACAGTCTTAGTGATGGAGTTGGCTACAGGTTGATGGTGACTGGTATAGTCAGCACCCTGCTGAGGAAGATGGGAGTGGGGCGGGTGCAGCTCCTCCAAGCCACTAATCCACATTTAATTGAACTCCAGAGACTTTGAAGTGAGTCTGTGATGCAGGGAGGTTTTATTCCTCCAAGAGACAACGAGAGAGAGGCTGTCCGGACCTAAAGGCCTCAGCTGGTCTCTTCTGCTGTCCTCTGCCTTTAATGAGCTCCTTTAACTTAACAGTAGTCTGGGGTTATTAGCCTACATTTGAATATTTTTGATTAATAACACAGCCTCTGAACCATCTAGTGTCACTTTTACTCTGCCATATCCCTGTACACTCCATCAGCCTTTCCAACTGAAAGCAGAAGGTGAAACAAGAGTCTAGTTAATCAAGCAGTGATAAGTAGGTTGGTAGCAAATCTAAATGCTGCATTAGTAGGAGTATGCATCACAGGGGCAGGACCGAAGCATCTGCGTCTGTGAGGGACTGTGACAGCCATCAGAACAAGCTACTCTGACAACCAGTCCGAGTCTCCACAGGGACAGATTAAGCTCAGCTCATCAAAGCATTTTTAAATCTGCAGCTAGCTAACGTAATATTGTTTGACCTCAGTGACAGTTACCTCCGTGGAAATATAGAAAACAGTCTAATTAGATGGCTCGCTTAAAATAGGGTCACATCAAATCATTTCTGTACATTAAAGCAGTTTGTTTTTGTTGGGGTTTTGTGCTATTATATGGATTATCTTTTAGTGAACTAAATGCTTCCCTCACTCCTTCCAGCTGAATGGCCCCCATTCTCTCGCTAAAGGAATATCTTTTTCATTGAGGCTGATCAATATAAGACATTAATCATGCTGTTCAGGCCATCGTGCCATCACTATGTGAAAAATGAGGTAACCTTATGTGGTGTCTGACTGCTTTTCTTTTTCTCTTCCCTCCCACTGATCTCTATCCCTTGCTATCCTGTGTCTTTAATTTATTTTCCTTATTCTCCCTTTCATTATCAAATTTGAATTTACCGTCTTCCCCCTCTTTCTTTTTGGTCCCAGATTTTAACTTATACAGAAGGTCTTCATGGAAAATGGCTGTTCACAGAGATCCGGGCCATCTTTTCCAGACGCTACCTTCTGCAAAATACTGCTCTGGAAATCTTCATGGCCAACAGAAGTAAGAGCACACCAGTATTTGCCTTTATATAACCATTTTAACTTGTTGTTTTAACATCAATCACTATATTTTTTGTGCTCATCAAGAAATCAGTAGCAATATGGTGCTTTTATGACTGGTAATCCTTTACTTTTAGATGTGTCTGTGTTTCTTTCTATACAGATGCAGTCATGTTCAATTTCCCAGATGCAGCCACAGTCAAGAAGGTGGTGCACAGTCTTCCCCGTGTTGGGGTGGGCACAAACTTTGGCCTTCCACAAACCAGGTGAGAGAGACAGCTACACAAAAACTAACTTTTTTTGGCATCCAAGTTTTATCTGTTGATTCTAATCGTTCTCTGCAGGCTTGTGTTCAGTACGCACAGAATCACATCTGAGTGAAATATGATGTGCTTGAATCAGAACATTAAAGTTCCGGAAGAACAAATGAGACAGAGGCAGTGAAACGTGTACATTGTTGTACCTGCAACTCCAAACTCAGTTTCCCCCTTTATCTGTTGGTTGGGCACTGATTTGTCCATCCCTCCAGCTCTCTCATCACCTCTCACACATAATTGGCTTGACACAAACATAGGCCAGTTCATTTATTTATTTCCATCAGTGTGAAGCAAATAGTTGCTTATAAGCCTGCAGGGCACACTCCCTTCCCTGCCCTCTTTCCATAAAAAGTTTGACATGTCTAGGCAGCACAAAAGCCAAGCACAACCTAAGTGCTGGCGTATGTGTTCCTAGTCTAAAATTCTTTGAAAATCAAGACAAATGAAATTTGTGTCCTTGAAGTTTTATGTTGTTGTTCATATGGCATTATAATTTGTTATGTATTAATTACATAATGACATTAAATAGTGGTAAATGTGCAGTATTTTTTACAACATTTTGGGGAGTAAATTAGATAATATCCAGGGTAGAAAGTGCACAATATTTGCATGAAATTGCTATTTATTAACCTGGAGACAGAGTTTTAAAAACCAGACTGGGCGGGATTTTGTTTTCTATGGGAAATGTTTTCACAGTCTTAGGAAGCCAAAGTGCCCCATGAAACATTTGTAATAGTGAACAATAAAGTCTAAATAAAATGGGTCCTGTAGTGAGTCGGTATGGATGTATTCTGGAGTGTGTGTGTGTGTATATATATAATACACAAGGGTGAGAGAATGTGTGGGTGTGTTTGTGTTGTGCTCATTAATCAAGGTAGTTTTGCAGGCCAGGGACACCTTGCCTCTTTGTCCTGAGGACAGCTGAACAGGGCAGCTCAGTTCACACACTTGCTTATACAGCTAGCAAAATTATTTCATGGCCACAGTGCTAGAATGAATGTTACACAACCGCATTTCATTGTCTGCTTAATATTGTTGCTCATAATTGGGTAAAATCCAATTGGTTGGAAAACATTTTTGACAATTTCAGGGACCTTCTCTAAATGTTTGTTTACAGTAACTATGATGTAAAATACAGGAACTAAAAAGGAAAAATAGAAACCTGCATTGAAAGTTTGTCCATGTACTGTATATCATTGCGGAAAATAAACAGTGTCTTGTAGTGCACTCATATTTGGAAAGCTCTATTTTCACCTTTCAGAGGTCTAATGAGTCTAATCTCACACCCTGACAGTGATTAATTCCATCATTTTCTTTTGTTTTAATTGGATTGGGGGTAATTTGTTTTTATCCTGCAGCATACATCATGCTCTGGGGCCTTGTATGTGTGAGCACACATGCTCATGCAGTATGTGTATTCGACCCAATTTATTGCATATTTGTCTTCTTAATTAGGAAGTCCAGTAGATTTTTCATGTAATGACATTTGTATTGCAAAAGTCTAATGAAGCCCAAGGGTTTTTTTTCAGTGTAAGTACTGTTTCTGTGATGTTGTGACTGACACCCTCTGGCACAATTTGTCAAAAGCTCGCCAGGGCAAAAACACTACAGTCATTTTACTACCTGTCAATCGCTCTTTGTCTCTATAGACGTATCTCTCTGGCCACACCAAAGCAGCTCTTCAAAGCATCCAACGTGACCCAGCGCTGGCAACATCGTGAAATCTCCAACTTTGAGTACCTCATCTTTCTGAACACCATCGCTGGTAAGGACGTTGCCCACAACCTGTCTGATGTTATTGCGCACTGTGGTATACACATGACAGAAGATGAAATGCACACAAAAACAAATGTTTCCAAAATCAATTTGAACTAGAGTTGTTAATCATTGATACCATGATTTGTATGATCTCTTCTTCCACCAGGTCGGACCTTTAATGATCTAAACCAGTATCCGGTCTTCCCATGGGTTATCACCAACTATGACTCCGAAGAACTTGACCTCACTCTCCCCAGCAACTTCAGAGACCTGTCCAAGGTAAGACACTCAGGGCACATCCCCTCGTCATCCTTTACTAGCCTATTTCTTCATTATCCCAAAGAGTTAAGATGCCAGAAACAAAGTGCAATGTTTTTCCATTTAGTTGCTTTGTAATTGCCATTGATCATAGTTACGGAAGCAGCTCTGTAATCAGTGGTGTCTGATTGTAATCTTTACACAGGTTGTAGCACTGCCCTCTTCATTCACTCGAGTATTTGGTTGTTTAGGTCTAAACACTAAAAGTTACTGCAAAGTTGAAAACCAGAGTTAATTCAATGCTTAAAGATGCTTTTAACTGTTAATTTTTGGCATTGTTCCCAAGTCTGAATCGACTTGCAGATACAGTGCCTTGCGAAAGTATTCGGCCCCCTTGAACTTTGCGACCTTTTGCCACATTTCAGGCTTCAAACATAAAGATATAAAACTGTAATTTTTTGTGAAGAATCAACAACAAGTGGGACACAATCATGAAGTGGAACAAAATTTATTGGATATTTCAAACTTTTCTAACAAATAAAAAACTGAAAAATTGGCCGTGCAAAATTATTCAGCCCCCTTAAGTTAATACTTTGTAGCGCCACCTTTTGCTGCGATTACAGCTGTAAGTCACTTGGGGTATGTCTCTATCAGTTTTGCACATCAAGAGACTGAAATTTTTGCCCATTCCGCCTTGCAAAACAGCTCGAGCTCAGTGAGGTTGGATAGAGAGCGTTTGTGAACAGCAGTTTTCAGTTCTTCCCACAGATTCTCGATTGGATTCAGGTCTGGACTTTGACTTGGCCATTCTAACACCTGGATATGTTTATTTGTGAACCATTCCAATGTAGATTTTGCTTTATGTTTTGGATCATTGCCTTGTTGGAAGACAAATCTCCGTCCCAGTCTCAGGTCTTTTGCAGACACCATCAGGTTTCCTTCCAGAATGGTCCTGTATTTGGCTCCATCCATCTTCCCATCAATTTTAACCATCTTCCCTGTCCCTGCTGAAGAAAAGCAGGCCCAAACCAGGATGCTGCCACCACCATGTTTGACAGTGGGGATGGTGTGTTCAAGGTGATGAGCTGTGTTGCTTTTACGCCAAACATAACATTTTGCATTGTTGCCAAAAAGTTCGATTTTGGTTTCATCTGACCAGAGCACCTTCTTCCACATGTTTGGTGTGTCTCCCAGGTGGCTTGTGGCAAACTTTAAACGACACTTTTTATGGATATCTTTAAGAAATGGCTTTCTTCTTGCCACTCTTCCATAAAGGCCAGATTTGTGCAGTATACGACTGATTGTTGTCCTATGGACAGAGTCTCCCACCTCAGCTGTAGATCTCTGCAGTTCATCCAGAGTGATCATGGGCCTCTTGGCTGCATCTCTGATCAGTCTTCTCCTTGTATGAGCTGAAAGTTTAGAGGGACGGCCAGGTCTTGGTAGATTTGCAGTGGTCTGATACTCCTTCCATTTCAATATTATCGCTTGCACAGTGCTCCTTGGGATGTTTAAAGCTTGGGAAATCTTTTTGTATCCAAATCCGGCTTTAAACTTCTCCACAACAGTATCTCGGACCTGCCTGGTGTGTTCCTTGTTCTTCATGATGCTCGGGGCTGAATAATTTTGCATGCCCAATTTTTCAGTTTTTTATTTGTTAAAAACGTTTGAAATATCCAATAAATTTCGTTCCACTTCATGATTGTGTCCCACTTGTTGTTGATTCTTCACAAAAAATTACAGTTTTATATCTTTATGTTTGAAGCCTGAAATGTGGCAAAAGGTCGCAAAGTTCAAGGGGGCCGAATACTTTCGCAAGGCACTGTATATGAATTTATAAATTTAAAATGTACAATTTTTTTCCAGAATTGCAAGTGGTTTACATTACAGATAATTTGTATGATTAGTTATTGGCTTTTGTTGGTTGAGACAATCCTGCTCTGCTGCACTTAAAGCAGATTTAAACCCTTCATATTCTCCCTCTGTACCTACCACTTTCTGGTTTTGCTATCATTTTCAGTTTTTAATTGAAAGTGCATAATTGAATTCTTTCAAGTTTGACCTTCTGCAACACCCCAGGAAGTGAAGTAATACTAGCCTCCCCAGTATTGTACTGTACATAGACATGTAGTTGGTTATATGCATGAACTCCCTCTCTTTTACACACACAGAACAAAAGTTTAAAAAAAAAAACATGCTCCAAAACTTGCCAGCTCCTCTTGTCAAAAAGAAGATCAGTTCTGCATAATGGTATCCAGGGGTGGGAGGACACAGGATTAGTTTAAGAGTGAGATGACTGAGCGACTGTCTAACTGCTGGATCCAAAATGACTGAATAAATCAGCCATGGAAACAAAAAGGCGTCTGTTAATGGACTGGGGATACTTTAGAGGAAATACATTTCTGAGTTACACTTGAGGAAATTTGTTCAGGTCCTGGGGTCATCTGTGCTGATGTAGAGCAAGGGAGAGATGGAATCTAGTGAGCAAAAATGGATTATATTACAGTTAAGTAATGTTCAGACCAAAAGTAGAACAGCATTAACAAATGCAAAGAGCTGTGTTGATGCTGACATGTTGCTACCAGTTTCAGTTAGATGATGAAATGAGAACGAGGAGGTCCAGTTTGATTGTACGTTTTATAAACAGGCCGGCAATCCTTTACATTTCTCTATAAGCCATGCCCACCGCTGAGTGATCAGATCAGATTTGACTTTAATTCCTTTTGTTATTATACCATACCCACATATTCTGTTTCACTCAAACACTTCACATTAAAGAACATACAGATGATTGGCAGTACTGGATGATGTAGCATTTCTCTTCAACATAAGTTGAGCCCCAAGTTAAACTTTTTCTGGACAGACAACGCTGTTTTATAGCTGGAGCCCTGTGTTTGTTCCCTGGCTGTGCTTTTATTGTAATGACTGACACTGTGTTATTACCGCCTGCTTACACCATAAAGTGTACAGTAGAATTTGTTTGTGCATCCGTTAATTTTGGGGTGCTCTGGTTCCGTTTATTCTTTTGAAAGTCAGAGCTGTCAAGACAGTTAGCAATTTATCAGCATGGTTTGCTTTTGCAAGCACATACCGTGATATAAGTAATTCTCTTTAAATTATCTTGGCTCAAATTTTGGATTAGAAAGTTTGATACAGTGTGACTAAGCCCTTAAACCACATTAAATCTTCTGAATAAAGGAGACAGATACAGTATTATCAGTGCAATATGGTCCATTGCAGCACATTTGCAGCCCTGCACAAATACCTGGTTTTGAAACACAAGCGCACAGGTCCGTTCTTTCACACTGCCCTGTCATACAGGTGCAAGCACCTAAACAGTCAACATCTTGTCCCTGAAGTTCTCCCCTGTACTGCTTTCACTTTCGATCTGCTCCTCTGTCTCTCTGTCCTGTTTTTATCCCTCCCAGTGTAGCTTTCCTTGCTATATGAGGCTGCATAATTTCTCTGTTTATCTGGTTTCATGTTGCCCAGTAGGCTGAAATGTGACAGTTGTATTTGCCCCAGTAAGACACACACAGACTCACACAAACACACAAGCCCTTCTTCAGTTTCTTCTCTTGTTTCTGCCTCCTGCTTCTCGGCACTGCCTTGGAGTTTGGACAGCTCAGCCACTGTGCTCACTCAAGCTTTGCAGCCCCAGGGACTGACTGAATGAAGCGGGGATAGGCGAAAGGAGGAGAAATAGGAAGGCTATCAGACAGCAAAAGAAACAGGAGGAGAGCGTGTAAAGGAAGAACAACATCATTTGCCGTCCTTGTGCTCCTTTTTCCTCAGAGAGCAGAAGAACAGCTTTGAGAGGAGGGGAGGGAGAGGAGCCAATCTTTATTACATCTGTTTTATTCATGTTGTTGACATGCGTGTGATATCAGTGTATGACTACTGGACCGTGGCGGAGTGCAGTGTCTGGAAAAGGGCAGCAGCAGCACTGTGCAGCCGTCCAAATCACCCCCCGCCCTCAATTCTGTTTTCGCAATCACTTGTTTCTTTTCTTTGCATTATGTTTTCTGACGTCCACAGTTAGCTCTGTGCTGTATGTCTGTGTATCATGCAAATTCTCTTTTACTCCTGCTTTGTTTCCTGTTTATTGTTTTTTTTTTTTTTCCCTTCCCTCTGTTTCTCTTTCTCACCCTCCACATCTCTCTCATCCCATTCTTATGTCACTTTGGTGCTTGTCTCATAGAAACAGGTCATGTGAGAAGCCTTCAGTGACATTGAGAAGCCAAATTGCTGTGAGTGTGTGTGTGTGTCACACACTGTCATCATCCCCAGTACCACAGAGGCCACACTGAATTTATGTTCCCTGCTGCCAGAGCCATTCTGACCCCAGGGACTTTCTTATCGTAAACTCTAACCTCAACCTGACATTAAATGCCGACCCCCGAGATAACATTGTAGTCACGATAAGCACACACTGGGCCCATCTGCAAGTTCTGTAACATTTACTTTTTATTCTTTCACCCTGGTTCCTACATACTGTCACACTTTTCTCCACAAAAATGCACTTGTCCTATATACAGCTTAGATAGCTGTAGGATAAGTATAATTAATCACCTGAGTTCTAGATAAAGTAGAAGTATATTAATTCTTGTTGTACAGTTTTTAATGAAGCACAGCAAACAAACTGTTAACCTTATAAACATAAATTAGCTGGTCTACATTTACATGGCGACAGAAGTAGGGAGGATTTATTGAGCGTTCCCTGTACCTTTGTGCTATAACCTACAACTTGCAGCCAGATCAGCTAATGGTGTATTGATTTCACCATACGTGCCCCATATGTTTATCCCCCAGGCCCTCCACACCATTTTCACTGTTTAAATAGGACATTATACATAAACACTCCTTTCAAAAGGCTCTTTTGATTTATGAATCAAAGCCCTAGTGATGCTCGAATCCTCAGTAGGCTATTATACTTCATCACCGGTGACTCATTATTGTTTTAAAAGCGGAGTAGAACTGGGTAATTTTCTTATAATAGTTCTCAGGAAGCTCCTTATTGTTCCTTAAGGCAGTGTTTTTCTCTGGATGTACACACAGATTTAAAAATATTTGCGTTCTCAGACTGATTCTAATTTGAAGAGGACCAAGTCAAAGGATAGGCCTTGTAATTGTCTCTTTGTTTTTTTTTTCCTGAAAAATCTTACAGACTAAAACCAGCAGTACATTTTGTCTGCTCGCTGTAATACATGTGAATCCAGAACCTGGTTTAGTTCATTCCTCTGCACTCTAGACCAAAAACTATTAAAAACATACCAGTGAGCTACATCATTGCTCATTTCTTCCTAAAAAAAAATGAGGCCTGTATTATTATTTTAAAGAGCTCCAGAAGCTAATAACAACCACTTTTTACAGTGTCTGAATTAAGAAAGAGGCTGTTGTGTGATCGTGTGATCTCAGCTCTGTTTACACTACACTGCTAACGTGAGAAGCTACAAGCACAAGAAGCTCAAAACCAGGGTCGGGATTCATGGGTATACGAAATTCACTTTTGGGTTTACTCTGTGTCTGGAAAATAACAAAAGCATGGACAGTCATGAGTCATGTCCTTTAACTTACTGAGCAAACATCCAGCATTATATGGTCCAAAATTTCAACTCTCAGCTAAATGTTTCTGTGACACACCAAGTACATGACTGACTCCTTTTTTTTTTTTTTATTCTATGTGTGTACAGTATGCGTTGTGTTCCAGGTGTCATAATACTTACCCTTAAGTTTTAATCATAGTGCAAATTATGTACAAAATGTGTTGATTTGTTACACTGGGCACTGGATACACTGGATTTTCCATAAACTGTATTACCTTCACATTAGCTTTAGTAACTGTAAATATTTCTTGTGAATTTTTTCTCACAGTACCTTTAAATTGGCTCTGTAACCCCATCTCCATCTCGGCGAATAGTTGAGGAACTGATTAGGACTAATCCAAGATGAATTCTCTGATGTTTACCACTTCAAAGCGGCAGCACAATTTTCTTCTGTAGCTTACCCCATAGTCTAATTAAAACTACGTGATTGGTTCATTTATCTGAGAGCTCATCAGAGCGCTATTCTTCGCCACAACATATTAGGCCAATCTGCGGTGGAGCGGCAGCAGGCGTTCCATCAGCACACTGCTGGGCGCTCTGCTCTGATGTACGGCACCGTCACCACCACTGTGTTGTAGCTACTGTAAGCTGAGAGCGCCATCCCCACTGTAATTTACAGCCATAAACAGTGTCGGGCTCATGCAAGCCAACAGCCCCCACATGCACTCACACACAATTCTGTCTCTCTCTTTGTCACAGTGGCACTTTCAGTCTTTTTTTTTTATTTTATATGCCTCCTCTCCCTTTTCTTTTTTTAATGAGCCGACTGTTATTAGGGCTATAAATCAGACCAATGGGTGCGATGTATAATTCACTGTGTGTACTCACCCACCCCCAGTGGCCCTGAGGAAGCCAGTGTATCACTGTCAACACAGAGCTGCACAGTGTGGTGGCACGAGGCATTTTGCTTTGTAAATGTGCACATGCTCAAGAACGCTATTTGCAAAATAAAAAATACACACTCACTAAATAATAAAAGAATCCAATACCCAGAAACCTTTTGTGCATCATTCCCAGTACACACAAATAGATGTACACAGGCATGCCCGATTACACCCACACAACACAGTAGCCATTGCACAGATCAATATCAAAGCCTGAGCCTTTGTGAGTCTCGCTGTGACATGCAGCCTATGATATGAAAGAGATCCAATTGATCCACATCCTACTAGGCCCTCATCCTCAAAAGGCCATCATTCCATTACCATTGATCCGCTGTGTGTGAGAAAAATGAAGGGGGGGTTTGATCGAATGAGGTGCAACCAACAGAAGACTAATAAAAATTGAACCAGCCTGAAAGTGAGTTCTATAAATGAGTATTTAAATAATAGCCCAGCAGTGTGGGTTTATTGGTTTTTGGAGAGCGATGGAAAATTAATGCAACTTGACCATTTTTCTAGACTACAAACAGGGCTGCTGACTAGTGTATTAGTTACAGATTAATAAAAGCAGAAATTAAAGAAACCCTCAGCTTTGCTATTGATATTCCTAGTGGGCACTCTTTCATTGGAGCACATTAGTTTTCTCTGACAGACTACAGCTGTAGGGGCTCTGTTTCACGGCCTCTAAAAAGCACTCTGTGGGAAAGGATTGATCTCTGTCTGAAGGGAAACATCATCTAATATTCATTTGAGATTGCACAAAGGTTACTGGCTTCATTTGCCTTGCAACTATTATGCTGCTGAGAGCGGTCCCTGAATGTATTCACACTAAAATGCTTTCCTTTTGCTGTCATACTTGTGTATTTGTCATTCTTTGTGTTCAGCTCTGCTTTCATGTCAAGCAGCAGTTAATATGCTGTTTTTCACTTTTTATCATATTTGAAAATATGTTCCTGTCTCCCCAGCCCATCGGTGCTTTGAACCCCAAGAGAGCAGCATTCTTTTCAGACCGATATGAGTCCTGGGAGGATGATCAGGTGCCAAAGTTCCATTATGGCACCCACTACTCCACCTCCGGCTTCACACTGATGTGGCTCCTACGCATTGTGAGTCCAGTGTTCATTTGTATACTAGGGATGCAACTATACCAAAAACTCGCCATGATAAGTCCATGATGCAATGTTTATCACAATATTAAAAAGTGAAGAGCAAAGATGAAAAAAATGCCCTTTGCTAAATAATAAATCAGCCTTTTTTATATAATATATACAAAAGATAATGCAGCAGTCAGTAGCAGTCCTTTTATGAGATAAAATAAAATGTATTACTGCAGCAGCTCGATCTTGTAAATAAAACAAGTCACACTCGCAGTGGAACATCAGTGTTTTAGGACCCCCCTCTGCAGGTTTAACTATCTTGGTTTGGTGGCTGTGCTGACTGGTGGTCAGGTTCTCACTAGGCTACTAGAGTAGTTGAAGTGGGTGTCCCTCCCCACCCCTAACCACCGGGGGTAGTATTGAGTGAATTGCTGCTTGGTGCACCAGAACCAGGAGAAGATGCCAAGCTGGGATAAAGGGGCTTTCAGATAGGATGCGGTGGGCGCTTCGCTCCGCCATCGAACCCATTCATTTCTATATGTTGCTGTAGATAGATACATCGTGCATCCAAGTGCACTGCTTGAAAAACTAGTTAATATCTGCTAACCACCTCTTGGAAAGCTTTTTGGTCGCCTAGCAACTGGTGCCCAACTTGCGGGATTTGCACGTGTGCGCCCTCCTTCCTTGTGCTACACCCAACCCCCTTGTCTGACTGTATTTACAAATTGTTCAGTGTTTACTAGTATTCTTTCCACCCATGTCATTTCTTGAAACAGGAAAACTGAATGCTGCCACACAACAGCATTAAAAGTCAACGATGAAGCATCTGTCACATGCAGATTCTGCGACCAGCACACAGTTACACTAACGAAATAACCAAATGTAGATATGTCATAGCCCCATGACATTGAGACATATTGCAAAATTACAAATAGTATTACATCCCTAACATGTACATAATTTTTAAATGACCAATTATTCAAAACATGTATTTGATGCTTTTATTACAGTGTTTTAAAAGTGGTGATATGCGTCCAAAAAATTATATGTATCCATACCAATGTATAGTTCAGGATTTCCTCATCAAGTAATGGATAATACGGATGATAATGTGCTGGCTGTACAAAAGCCCCACTTCTACTTTTTTACAAGTCCAGTTACATGCAGCAGTCTGCATATTCAAGTCATGTGTCAAACAGTTTTAAATTAATTACTTGCTTTAGAGTTCCACATTATTAATTCATTCTTCCTGCCTTGAGCCTAATTCTCAGCATTTTTTTTTGAAGAAGAATCTGATATGTGAAGCACATATCCAGTGTATGTTGTGCTCTCTTTTGGTACCTTTGTTGAATGGATGCCATCAATCTTTCCATGTGGCACTCGAGGGAGAAGGAGGTTACTAAGTTTCTCCGATGTGCAGTTTTCTGCTGTTATTGTCCCAGTAGCGTACTGTTTCAGTGACTCCCAGTAGAGTTACCTCATTGATCTGAGCACATCATTAAAAGGCTTACTCCAAAGCCACTTTACCAGGAACCGTCACTACAACTCTCAATTAAAGATCAAACTCAACATCTGAGAGTAACTGGAAGTTGTTTGTGAAATAATGTTGAACTATTTTCATGTACACTGTGTACAGTTCACTGTGCAAATAACACCACAATTAGATGCAAATGATTAACCTCTTGCTTGATCTTTGTTACAGATGAGGCTGATGTCATTTTAAGCTGACTTAATTAGCTATCTACAGTATTAGACTGTGGCTGTGGCCCGGCATATTGTGTCCATGTCACTTGGGGGTTGTTGTGTCAGAGAGACAGCTATTGATCTGTCCTAACAAGATTATACAAGACTAGAAATGCATCAGTAACACACATGTATTGGCTTTAGGAGCTCACTGGGATTACTGTTATTTCACTTGTTTGTTTTTGGATTCCAGTCTCTTAGAGGTTGTTTAAAAACTAGATATGGTTCAGATATATTGGCACAGTTTTTTATTGAACAGCAAGCAGCACAGACTTTTATTGTATGTTTTTATTGCACAACAAGTTCATTCTGTTTTAGCAGCAGCAGAAGCCTGAGGTCAGATTTTAGAGCCTTTCTTTCCTAATAAACAGGAGCCCTTCACCACGTTCTTCCTGAACTTCCAAGGAGGAAAGTTTGACCATGCTGACCGCACCTTCTCATCAGTGGCCCGAGCCTGGAGGAACTGCCAGAGAGACACATCTGATGTTAAGGTACTGATGCATGCAAGCACACAATTTGAAAATGCTTTCTGAAAAAAGTCGCCTCGTTTCCTTTCGAGATGTTTGACCTCTGAGGAAGTTAGAAGAGATAAAGAACTGAACACTGCAGGAGAATAAATCCCCATCCAGCATTCATACAGACAAAGAATTAAAGGCTTCAAAAGAGTAATGTCCAGTCACTACCAATCATTGTCCTGTTGCAGTGAAAGCTTCTTGGTCTTCTGATCAAAGCATTAGACAAATCCTCATCTGTCTTAGCCGTCTGTCTCGGATTCAGCCGGCTATAACCTGGACTTGAATCCCTGCCCATTGGGCCCCCAAACTCTGCTGAGCTGTTGGATATGTTGTGGAACAGCACAGGTCATTCTCATACTAAGTGCCTTCGAACCCTCAGCGCGCATTTTAACTGCTCCCCTAAAACATTTACGACTACAGTCAGACATTCTCTGTCAAAACTGGGTTTTACTCGGTCTCCTGGCACTGGGTCACTGGGTGGGGCATACAGCAGTGGTGTTGGGGGTTTTGACGCTTGATTGCATTTACCACCCCCCTTGTATCCCACCAATAAAACATATGGATTGTGTTACTATGTAGCTGGCCAGTGCTTGATTGTAAAAGTCCAACAAGAGCCTTCATTTGCTCTCTGTCTAGACCTGTCAATGTGGATTCAACAGTGAGAGCTCAACTTCAGATCAAAACAAAGGCTAAATCTGGACCACATCACTTTGTTTCCATGTTCAGTTTGATTTTTTTAGCATATTTTGAATGAAAATCAGTCGACTTTATCCACTTGGATGCACACATTCATGTTTAGGCAAAAGCAGAATTAGGGATGAGATGTATCAATTTAGTATGCTAAGTACTCCATTTAGCTTTAGCTTTAGAGCCACTGATAAACTCTTTTCCTGCCAGAGGGCAAAAATCCCCAGTGTTTTCATAACTCACTGGTAACGAAGGGGCGATAATAGGTTACAACACCCATGTTCTTTGTGTCTCTAGCCTGGTTGACGCTAGCGTGACCTCTGGTCCCTAGTCCCCTGACCCCAAGCCCCAGCCCAAAGGCATCAGAGGGGGAGAGAGTAGAGTAGAGGGTTTAGAGGTAGCAACAGTGGAAGTGTAGCAGGAGTGTAGAGGAGCCCAGGGGCCATAGCCCCATCCAGTGACCCATGACAGGACAGGATTGGGGATCAGAGGGGCTGGCCTCTGACCAGGCCGGAGCAAAGGGGCCACTGCGCATAATGGTCCATGCAAGGCAAGCTTGAGTGTTGGGGAGCAAAGCCCTCAAGGTTTTGTTAGGTTACGCTAGGGTGTATGTGTGTGCGTACATGCGTCCTGCTATCTCCTGCTCAAATTTACAGCCGTCTGCAGCCAGTGAACCTGAGTGAGCTAGAGGCCTTTGAGTTAGGATGACCTTTTTAGTTTTAGGCCAGGTTTTGTAGAATGAAGAGATTTCAGAAGTGAGGAAGTGCTGTGTTGTTTTAAACCTGTGTGTTTGGTTCCTCATTTGATTGGATGCTTTCACCTCACTGATGAAAAGAGGATCTATTGTGCAGCTAATCTGATAAACATGATCTATAATTGTTTGTGTATGTAGTTTTATGTTGCATATGACCTTTATGATATTTAAATTCTGGCTTTTGAACATATTTGTCAAAATGTGCTTAAACATGCCAGTGCTCCTCAGGTTTTAGTAAGGGGTGTTTGCATGCTGCCGTGCTGTTAACAGTGCTGCTGGCCTGTCAGACTCAACTTGGTGCTGCAGTGGTGGTCTGCTCATCTCTTCTGGCAGGCTGTCAAGATTGCATTTCTTTGTCCATATTGAGAGGACCAGTCGGCACTTTTAGTCACACTAGCTTTGTTCACAGACAGTTCGACTACTGTCATCTCCCAGCAAAAATGCCCGACAATTGATTATTTTGTCTTTAATTTGGTACTAAAATGTAGCAACTAATCATAGCGTAAAATCCTGCTAGGTATGGGAGCCAGTGTTTCCTGTGGATCAAGAAGGGTTTGGTGGGGGGCTCTGCCTGAACACGTACTTCCTCTCTCCTCATCTGTCCCTCTCTGAGCTCTATGATGTCTCTCTGTCTATGGAGGTGAACAAACACTTAATAATTATATGGAGTCATTTATTCTAGTTATTTTTCAGTGACAGTTATAAAAGTTTTTATAGCGGTTGCTAAATTAAGTCCTCAACAGTTTGCTGGTGCTTGACTCAACAATATAACCACAGCTTGGCTGAAAGCAGGACACAAATTCAGCATCAGAGCAGCTGTCAGTCATTGGCCCCTGATGAGCTGAAACGACAGCAGACAGATCAACGGTTTACACCAGGCCGAACGACAGTATTAATGTATTGGATGACAATAAAGACGCGCTCTGCCTGAATTGGCCTTAACTTCACCTGTGTACTGTATGTGGCTCGCCATATTGTTTTACAGACTTCCTGGCTGCTTGATGGATTGATTGGTTGGATTGATTTTTTTTTTTTTGCTATGACAGGGTGCCACTGAGAAATGTTACCAGCAGAAACGCTGGGAGCTGTGTTAGACTGAAAATTAATAGAAACCAAACCTTGCTTATAGCACAAATGCCTTTGAGTGCAGTGCAAGAGTAAAGCCATCTTTTGCATTGTAAGTGACATGCCAAGACATTAGGAAAACAGAATATTATCATCTTTAATCAGTAGTTTATACCACAGAGATTCATAGAATGGTATTTTTATTTTATTATATTAATTTCTTAAATTATTTATATGAAACCTCCAAAGGTTGAGACCACCTGCTTCGTGCTGGTGTCTTTTAAGTTTTGAGACGTACCCACAGCAACAACTCTACAGTTTAGTCCTGACAGGCCTTATGGATTTATTTACATGTTTTAACCTTTAACTCAATGTTTACACCAACTGTGGCAAGTTCTGCTTAGTTAAGAATGACAAGGGACTAAACATGTGAGGTTACATCTCATGTTACAACAAACGTTGTCTTTACTATTGTGCAATGTGAAAATACTTTGTGTTTGAGACAGCAAATAAAATCACTGTAGTTTGGAAAGAATTTGAGGGTTTTTTTCAGTTTTTGTGGAAGAACTAGGAAAGCAGAAAAAAGCCTTCTCTGCTGTTTAGATACAAAGAAAATGAGTACATCGGTGTAGTGGCAAACCACAGCCGAGAACACCGAGATTTTTGACATCTTCTATAGTGGCAAAGCACAGAAGCAGACAGCGGACAAGCAGTTAGAGATCATTTCCATGAATTATTGTACACTTCACAAAACAGCATTGTCAGCTGAATCATTTCTGAGCACATGCATACCTCCCCTCCTTTTCTGACTTTCCTAGGGTGCACTGGTGATTTCTCCAAGCCCTCTGTTGTTTGAGAATCATCTTAGCTTTCTGCATTCAGCATGTACTAAGCCTTTCAGAAACTCTAAGTTTAACTATGCCTCTGCACTGTGCCCCTTCAGGAGCTGATCCCAGAGTTCTACTACCTCCCCGAGATGTTTGTCAATGCTAACGGTTACAGCCTGGGAGTGATGGAAGATGGCACCGTGGTCTCTGATGTGGAGCTGCCACCCTGGGCCAAGAGCCCAGAGGAGTTTGTTAGAATCAATCGCCTGGTAAGTCAAATACATAGTACAGAGACCCTTAACAGATGCTAGCATGGATAAGCCATTAACTATCCCTGTGTGAATACTCTTGTCTAAAATAAAGTGTTAAATTATGATTATTCTTGTGTAGAAATGAAGACACACAGTTTATTTAAAAACATTAGTAGTATCTACAAGACGATTGCACATAAACATATACACATATTTCTGTGTCTGTCCTATATGTCACATAACCCAGACCAAACTAAGTCCTGTTAGAGCGTTCTGCCTCTCCTTGTACCAGCTTAGCTGAAAGAGCTAATTCGAAGAGACAGTGTTATTTCCTGACCGTCTCACAGCTCTTCCTGTTTACCTGAGCCTCCCGACATGCCCAGACTCTCAGATTGCTGTTCCAAAGTGATCCAACATCACCTCACCTCATATCCCTATCCACCAAACCGTCTCTCTCTGCTCTCGTTCTGTCTGCTCACATCTGGTGCATGTGCAGGTGTGTGATTGCGGCTATATTCGTAGGCAGAGAGAGTATCCTGTTTCTAGTCTCCCTGTCTGCTCAGCACAAAGCAGAAATATTCTGTGTAAATGCATGTCAGATGTTGTCAAACTGGCTGTCATATTTTGATTGTTGATGCGCTCTCCTCTTGCATATATATACACACACACACACACACACACACACTAGGCTTGGGTAATTGAGGTAAGTCTTTGGATTAAATTACCTTGCTCTGCTGAGGTCAGAAAGCACCAGATAGATTTACTGGTTCTGTTTTGTTCTGTTCTGAGATTTACTGATACTCAAAGGCCAGGCCATCCAGGGAGGTTACAGTCATGCAAATGTCCTCTGCCTGTTTGATTTTGGATTCTTTCATAGGCCACGTATTTAGCTAATTGCTTTTTGGGGTGAAAGCAGACATAACGTCCTGTGTGATGTGTGCCCTCAGTAGTAATGGGTGCTGATGAGGCTTGGTGTGCTCTGTGACCTGTGCAGTCCTGTGGTGGGCTCTGTTAACCAGACTGCTGATACGACCAGGCCCCCGTCATTAATCACATACTTCTCTCTCTTTGGCTGTCAGCACGGTCTAGGCCAAGGTGGACGTACTTGGGAAAGCTTTGTTGTGGTGGCAGTGTCCGCATTCTGTAAATCTGTTTTGAAGAATGAATATATTCATTGCAAGCATCATCTTGCAAAAACATTTGGTGACGTGCTTGTTGTTTCCAGTGTTGAAACAGCAAGTTGATTAATTTTAAAAAAGCCAAATGTGAGTATACATGTGAGGATCAGCTGCGTTTCTCTGTTTTATATCACTAAAAATGTTGTGTTGTGGTCTGTTGATCAGACACAACATGCACTTTGAGAGATATTATTTCTGATTTCAAAGCTTGTGATGAACATTTTTCGGGATTTTTGGACATTTACAGTAACAAACTTAAAATATTGTTTATTTTGAAAATACATTTAATTGATAATGGCAGTAATTGTTAGTTGCGGTTCTCTTGCTGAAGGCATTTGGACTTATCCGAATGGTTCATACTTGTGCACAGCTATCTGCTAGTTACTGCTTTCAGCCTGATTAAATTTCAGTCTGTGGTTTCTTTCTCTGCTGTGTGCAAATTGAGATATCGATCCAGTATTCACCTGAGCCCAGCAGTGTAGCTGCACAGAAATACAACAAGCTCAGTAAAACAGCAGCTCTGAGGTTTCACAACGGGGCTGAGGATGTGAATATCTGTTTCAATCCCACATAAACAAGCACTGTACTTTAAGTTTCAGCATTGCTTATCCATGATCACCAAGCCCCTCAGGTAGCAGATTATTCTGTCATATGTCAGATTGATCCATCCCTGGAAGTTGTTGCTATCAACCGAAAATGATGATCACACATCACTGACATATTTTTATGTACTGTAGTGTTTGTTTGCTAAGCAAACCAATGAACAAACAAAAAACAAAAACTGTATTTGGTTACCAGTTTAGATCATACATGATTACAGTTTATCTTGTGTGTAGAGCTGCAACTGAAAATAAACTGGCAACTATTTGACCACCAGATCATATACAGAGAGGACTGGAAAGACGGGATAAAGAAGGGTCGACAGGAAGAATGAAAGAAAGAATGGCCTGAGGATCAGGCAGAGGGAGGGATGAGTGGGTGGACAGGTCTCTGGTCATGACAGATAGCTGGCATTAGAGGGTGTCAGCTGGCAACTGGGGTACTACAGGGAGAGAGATGAGCATGGTGGAGAGGAGAGAGGAAGACTGAAGGAGTTAATGGGCTGTTTGGCTCTCTTTAGCTTGTCTGATGCTAATGGCCTCACAACACAAGGATAGACAGCAGGAGAGAACACGCAAACACATGCAAATGCACACACACTTACAAACACACCCACCTGCTGTCTCCTCTCTGGTTATGAGCCCTTGATGATTAACAGCTAATTAGGGCCCAATCTGGAAAGGCTATTAAAGGCCTCTCACAGTAAAGGATTGTGCTGCTGTGCAAAACCGCAGCTTGTTTTTGTTGTTGTGACTGAGAGTTGATTGGTTGGTAATTTAAAAAAAAATCCAGGAGAAGATAGAAATATTACATCAAATTGTAGCTTCGTTTATATTACTCTGCTGTTGGAAATGTCACAGTTCACCACCAGTAATTAGTAAAACGTTTGTGTTGTGTTGGCTAGGAAGTGTGTGCCTATATACAGGTTGTTGTTTACTCTTTAGCTTAGGGAAGAGATGCACCAAGCTCACGGTTGGCCATCAGTGAGCGTCTGTCAGGACTCGTCTTCCCAATGTGTTCCCACACTTCCCACACTGTTGGCACTGGTCAGACCCTGCCAGCGGCTTTTCGGCCAATCCAGCATGTTGCGTTGCACTGGCTGGGCCTCGTCAATAAGACACACCACTCTGATTGGCTGGTCAGCTTAGCAAATCCATGCAAGAGAAGAGAAATGTACAGAAAAGCCCCTTGAGCCTGTCACCGTAATATTCATGATTTCACCCATTTAGTGCGGTTTCTCCTTGGTTTTTGCCTCCACAACCTCCTTTCTTCTTCCACAACCAAAAGACCAAGGGCAGAGAACATCAGTGCTATTTGCAGCTTCTTATCAGACATATCCTTGATTAGAAGTAGCTATAAACAAAGCAGCTGTATTGAACAACAGCTGCTTTGTTTACAGATTTATTTCCACTGTCTAGATCTTATTCTTTCCCTTTCTGAACGGTGAACACAGATACCGCCACCTGCTGGTAAGGAGAATTATTTCTGTCACACAGGGGCAGAACACACATGCTAGTTGGCCGTTGGCTGTCGTCTATATGGTGTGTTCAAGTGCCACTTTTTCAACCCAACTGGCCCAGACAAAGGCGACACAACAGTTGGCCTTTGTCGGTGCTAGTTATTTCATGTCAGCTTGGTGCATCTCTGCCCTTACACAACACTGAAGGCACAAAGACAAAAGGATGAAGCATCTCAGTGCCCTAAGCCAAGCATGTACCTTCACTGCCTACTTTATATTTAATACTTGTTTATAAAGGCACACTCCCTTTTCCTTGGTCCATCACACATACAGAGGGACTGGGATCTTGAGATGGCATACCACAGCGATCGGGGCCGCTTGTTGTTTTTACCACGAGGTTGAAGGAGAGGTTAAGAACTTGATCCCTTCTCCACTAGATAACTACATGTCTCTGGGCACTGTCAGTCCCTCTGACATTCCACTATATATGACCACATCTCACTTCTCAGGTCTGCTACCCATTAGCGCGATAGCAGGTGTGTATGCTTTTGTGTGCACATCAGTGTTTACCTGTGCTGTCATGTGTCCAGGCTTCATTGGAGCTACTGATGTAGTGCAGCCTAAACCACAGATTGTTACGCTGTAGTAGCCATCTCCTGCTGTGGTCTAATGGTAGACTGAGCTAAATAATACAACTTTCAGAGGCTGTGATTTACACAATAAAGTGTAATGCCTAAAATTTGCCAACAAAACAGCATAGATTTTTTTTTAATAGTTAAATAGAAACAAAAATGCAAATGTTCATCACATGTAATCTATTGACTCATTTGAAATAAAACAGCAAAACCTTAATTTTCATATCAAGCCATTAAAGTTCGGCATCGTTTGGTGACCAATATGGGTTGATTAGTGTCATGTTAGTTCTACTTTTAACTGATTCAACTGTTTCATGACGGGTGTTGTTTTATTACTAAAACCAATTTGTCCAATCAGTACTTAAAACAAAGGCTGCCCACTTTAAATCATTTTTTCCCTGAAAGTTGGAGTGCAGTCACTATCGAATCCGCTTGAACTCAGCAGGGTCCTTTTGCATCTCCAACGTCCACGTTTGATTCTTTTCATTCATCTGTGTCGTTGTAGTGCTGCCGACAGACCTGCAAACCACACACATGGGAGAGATGGACAACCCATTACTTTCAGCCTTTTCCCCCTTAGAAAGCATCACCTCACTTGAAGCAGTGACAGTGATATCAGCTAAACAGGCCTCACAGATGGAGAGAGAGACTTTCCTCTTGTTGAATGGGCAAAGCCATTTGAGTGATGGATCAAAAGCTGGTACTGAGAAGGTTGACCACAGGCCACTGCTGCATGTGGTAAACCCTCAGTTACTCAAGACATTTCTGCTCAGTAGACATTAGACACCCAAGTTTGATGCCTTTTTTACCATTACACTATTCACTATATGATTTATAACCATGTTGATGCTTTCCATCAGGGAGAATATAAAGCCTGACCAATGCTGGGTGTTATTAGAACCAATATTTGAGTTCAGTGTAAGCAAATAATATAAACGTTTTTGATAAGAAGCCCTTAAATATGACTATTAAATGAGTTATTAACTGAATTAACAGTGAAATGGTTGATACTGCTGCTCCAACTGAGAATTAACACCCTACCAAGCAGCAATTTTCTTCAGTGTTTTGGTTCCTTATTGTATTTTTGAATCCCATTAGCTGCAGAATAACCTCTCACCACCAACATCTAAAATTGCAGAATCATGG